TCTAATGATAATTTGTTAATTGAATATAAATTAAAAATATATATTAAACTTATGCAGGAACCCAGAATCTTAATTTTGAAACTTAGGACCTAGTCCCAAAGATCAGGTCCCACCTTGGTGATCCCACGTTAATTGTCGATTCCAAAGTTTATATTTCTTTTATAAGTTATTCATAAAATTTATTATTACAATTATTTATCAAGGGTTACTTATTATAAATAAGCAATCAGACTTTTCTATAACTCGTAATTTCAATATTTATTTACAATCATTTGGAACCGTTTAACATCCCTAATCAATTATAAATTATTAATAATTTGTGATTAGCTAATTTAATTTTAACTCTTTTTTTTATTAAATTTTATCCAAAAATATTTACAAAATAATATGTCTATTTAATGATAATTGCAATTTAGCTCATAAAAACAACAAAAAATCTTTCTTTCATTATTTCTAATACATTTATCTATATAACATTTATTATAATAGTCTAAATAGCTTATTTTATTAAAAATATTTTTTAACTTTAGCAAATTTATTTCATTTATTTCTTTTCTTAAATTATCTATATCTAAGAGTATTTTAATCAAAAATTAGAATTAAAATTATTTTAAACAAAAAATCTTATTATTTCTTTTTAAAAAATATATTTTTTTTAAATTAATTGATAACTTTTTTCTAGCTTTTATATTAAAGATCATAAAATATTATAAGATATTTTTCTGATTTTATATGATTTAATTATATTTTATATTAGAAGTCACATGTAATTTAAATTGATAAATATTTTAACATAAAAATATAAGTCTAAAAGTTTTTATTAGAATATAATAATTTAGATTCACTCATATAGATAATGATGTTATTTGAAATTAAATAAGTATTATTGTTAAAAACTTAAATAAATTATTATATTATTTTTTATTAATAATTTTTCTTTATATTCTAATAGTTTTAAACAATGTAGTAGTTTTCTTTATATTGAGTAAATGTTTCAATTTTTAAGTTGATAGACTCAAAAAATATATAAATTAAATAAAACAATGTTATAATCTTTATTATTTAAGTATTTAGTATTAATAAAAACTTTACTAATTACTATTTTAAAGTTTAATATAATAAACATTTGATTTGATTAAAATCAGATAAAAAAATATATTACATATTTTTAAAAAAAGCAGATCTGCTTTTAATAAATTTTAGCTTATTGAAATTGTCTTTTGATACTTTATTTGCCTAATATTTCATATTTATTAATAAAAAGAATTTAGTATAAATCATTAAAGTACTTAAAATTAATATTTCAATATTGCATATTAAATTTATATAGTATTATTTAGTATGAGGATCATCCTAAATTCAGCCAATCAAAATCGACTACGTTATTAATATATAAACTAAACTGGAAAAGGTAAACTCATTAAGCTATACAGTTAAACCTTGATATAGCGAACTCTTAATATAGCAAATTTTTAAATCAAATATATTAAAATTACCTTTACTATAGTGAACTAGCCAATTAAATTCTTTAAAAAATTCGTTATAAGCTTATAACGAAGTTGATATCCAGATCTTAGAATTCGTTATATTAAGAGTTCACTGTATATGTTTTATAGTTAAAATTTTGTCCGAATGTTCAGAATGAACTACAAAAACAGCGCTTTTCTTAATCTCACATTTGGGCAGTTAATCACTGACTAAACCTATACTCCATAGATATAATATATGGATAAAGAAAACCAAAATTTAAAATGCGTCAAATGTAGCAGCTTGTCCTCAACAAAATGGCGAAAAGTTTCAACATATATGTTGGAAAAGTTGCTAGAACCCCAGAACAATATATTACCTGAAGCAAAAATTTATTTTGTGAAGGTGATTTACTTTATCATAAATGTTATGTGCAATATATAAGTAATCCGATAGAAAAAGCAAAATAACAATTAAAATAAAAGCGACATGCTAAACCACCATCTAATGCAACCGAACTTTCGTCACAGAGGGTATTGATATCAGTTCAACCTCAACCTCAGACTTTAAGAAGCATTCATATTGCTATACCTACAAATATTTATAAACAACAACAAGTTGAATTAGCTTCTTTACATGATGTTGTTAAAAAACAATAATCCAAATTGGATTCTTTATACGAGCAAGTTTTAAATATACAAGAGCAATTAGCAAACGAGATGCAGAAATACTCTAATATCTCCAAAGGTTCATTATTTTACAAATAATATTTAAATAATACAGGTATAATAATTTATGATGGAAAATTGGGAGGTATTTTACTATTAGAATTAATTTTTCTATTTTTTTTATGAAGCTATAATGATCGTTTTAATTTAATTTAATTTTTGAATTAGAAAAGCTAGTTTTATTTTACAATGTATTTTTTTTAATATATTTTAAAATTAATAAAAATAAATTTATTTTTTTTGATTTTTTTTTTTTAGATATATCAATTTTTTCTCCATTATTTCAAAATTGTATTAAGAAAATGATGGACATTTTGTATCGACTTCAACATCATGAAAATAGCAATGGGATTTATGATCCTGAGAAATTTCTTAATATTATTGCTTCTCAAGCATCTGAGCTACGCCAATTTTTTGATATGTTATATCAATAAACAAATCTAATTGGAAAATGTGAATAAACTAATGCTACTAGTAAAAATCAAAATGTAGTTCTTTGTTATCAGCTTGCTTCTCTTCGTAATAAACAAATAACTTTACTTAAACGTGATGCTAGTTTATTTTTCAACATTCGGGACTATCGAAAAAAGGCATTGATACTTTATCAAATATGAGAATTTCAACTACTTTTAAAACTATTAATCAAACTAGAGTAAAGATTAAAGATAATCATTACAATAATTTTTTGGAATATTTTTAAAATAATGTATGTATTATTAATTAATTGATTTTAATAATAAAATTCAATATCTAATAGCCAATTAATTTTTTATAGATTGAATTTTTATGTATTTTAAATGTAGATAATTATTATGACATTCATAAAGCTTGCCATCCTGCTACAATATCTCTTCATTATATTTCCCATATGATTATTATTATTGTTAATATACTGCCAATTTCTGCAATTAAACAAATTACCAATGAAAATTTACACATTCATAATTCTTTAATAATTAATATTAATACTTCATGTGATACTTTAACTTATCAATATATGTCACATTTTAGTTTTAGTTATATGATTGACGTTTATTCTGGTATGATGTTTCGAATATAACAAAAATGAATTCAATGGATTTAGAGGATTGGTTAACAGTTCATGTATATAATTCTCAAATTAGTTCTACAAAAAATCAACGTTCTATGAAATATGTTACACTTGTTGACTTAATTTCATTGGATCTTAAATCAACTAAACAATATCTTGAAGCTTTTCAAATTTTATTTAATATTACTCTGATTAAAGATTATTTACAACAAAATGTGATTCCAGTTCCCACGGATTTTTTAGGACAAGTATATATACGATCTGCTATCATTCAAAAATTAAAAGGAAATAACAACATACCTAATGAAATTTTAGGGATTATTCTTATGTTAGGTCCTCTTCACATTTCATTGAATAGTCATGAAATTCTTGTTATGAAATATTGACCATTTTTTAATGAACTTTGGAAAGCAGTAATGGGACAATGGAAAAAACTAGCTGCTAAACCAAAACCTTGGAGAATCAACTTAATTTTGCATATTACTTATTCTGCTTGACTTTTAATTAAAACTAAAGTTATTCAAAAATTTCAAACTTCAAAGGATTTAGAATATCGTACTTTTATTGATTTATCGGATAATCTTATTCCTTTAACACTTGAAATTTATGCAAATCTTTCTCGTGGAGGGTTTTTTGATTATTATATTGAATCTATATTTCATGTATGGTGTCTTTTTCGAAGAATAAGACGCAAAAACTATGACAAAGTACCTTTGATTTTTCTTTCAGATATTATTTATTAGGAAACTATTGGTCATCCTCTTTTTGAATCTATGCAAAATAATCTTCCATTTTTTAATGAATATTTTGTGAAAAATTTTCATTCTAGTTTATGAAGACAAATATCACATAAAATATTAAATCATGAAGGACTCCAAAAAGATGCATTTGTTATAAATGCTTTACATAAAGAAAATAATTTTAGTAATTCTTATGTTCAGAAAGAACAATATTCATGGAAGGGAAAAAAATTACAGAATTTGATTTTTCTTACAGGAGATTTTTTATTAAAATTTTTTTCTCAATTGTATAATAATTAAAACAAAAGTTATATTATTGAATATAATACAGGAAGAAGGAGATTAAAATATTCACAGTATTTTTTTGTTACCTTAAATACAAAAGTAGATGTTATGCTTCTTCTTACTGGATATAATTCAGATCAACCTCTTTCTTCTGAAAAATTCTGTGATTATGATCAATATTCAATTTTATCTGACACAGAAAGTTCACAGTAGGGTTTAATCTGTGGTCATGCATATCATAGTAATTGTTTAAAAACTTTAAATTTCATAGTATACGTTATTTTTGTGATGGAATTAAAAAACTTTCTCAAAGTTTTATAGATAGATTATCAAAAGGAATATCGGAAGATTCACTTATTTTGGAAGAAGAGGATGATGGGATTACAGATGAAGATAATGATATGTTTGAAGATAAAATAGGTAAAAACATATTGGTACAAGAAAAATTTTTTCATTCTTTATCTTTATTTTAATTTTTATGAACATTTGGTTTAAATAAACATCATCTTATTGTTATAATTTTCATATTTTTAATATTTTTTTTGTATTTTTCGCATATTATTTAATTAAAAATAATGATCAGTAATGATCGGCAATAATTGACAAATCATTACTAAATTAGGAATGTTCCCTATGCTGTCTTCACCTGCTTCACCTGCCTCAATAACAGAAGAATTATCTACTAGAACAATGTCAGACATGGTTAAGAATTTTAATATAGGGAACTTATTGAATATTTGGAAAGGAAAGACTTGAAACTCAAAGAGGATGATATTAGAATTCTTCACAAAGAGAAAATTGCTGGCCCAGACTTTCTTAATACAACTAAAGAAGAGTTTTGAAGTTATGGTATGAAAGCTGGTCCTGCAAAAAGATTTGCAGAATTTATTGAGGGTCTCGGCCAGAAGCTACAAACTATTACTTGCTTAAGACTCTTGACGACTTGAAAGAAATGTTATGTAGAAATAAGGTCAATAGGAAAGATATAATAAACATCAAGCAGTTTACTCCCAGTAGGTAATTAATTATTTTTTGAAACTGATTAGATAGCTATATTAACTTTATTTTTCTCTGTAGTCTTCGAGGAGATTAATAACGATGATAAGGTATTTAAACACTGTATGAAGTAAAGCTTCTCATAAGCTGAGCCAGCTCACAAGCCTCATGAGCCAGCTCGCTAAAGCTCAGTTCAAGCTACTATAAAACGGCTCGCGAGCTGATTAAGCCAGCTCGTAACGTGACTCAGCTCGTGGAGTAGCTCGGCTCGTCGGCTTGGATTTTACATTTAGAAAATAACAAATCCAGCAGATTAACTTTAAAGAACAACGTTCTAGGCAATGATTTCTTCGAAGTTAAACGGTTCCGGCAACGTTTTCTTTGAAGAAAACGATTCTGGCAAAGTTTATTTCGAAGAAAAATGATTCCGGTAACGTTTCTTCGAAGAATAATGTTTTCGGAGCGTTTCTTTTAAAAAAAACGTTCTGGAAACGTTATTATTTAAAAAAACGTTTCCGGAACGTTTATTTTTAAAAAAAAAACATTTCCAGAATGTTTTATTTAAAAAAAACGTTTCCAGAACGTTTATTTTTTAAAAAAAAACATTTCCAGAATGTTTTATTTAAAAAAAACGCTTCCAGGCCGTTACTTTTAAATAATAACGTTTCCAGAACGTTTTATTTAAAAGAAACGCTTCCAGAGCGTTAATTTTTTAAAACAAATGCTTCCGGAGCGTTAATTTTTTAAAACAAATGCTTCTGGAGCATTAATTTTTTAAAAAAAAATGCTTCGGGAGCATTAATTTAAAAACACGCTTCGGAAACGTTAATTTTAAAAATAAAAACGCTTCCGGAGCGTTAATTTTTTAAAAAAAACGCTTTGGGAGCGTTAATTTTAAAAAAAACGCATTCCGGAGCGTTAATTTTTTAAAAAAAACGCTTCGGGAGCGTTATTTTAAAAAACACGCTTCTGGAGCGTTAATTTAAAAAATACGCTTTGGGAGCGTTAATTTAAAAAACACGCTTCCAGAGCGTTAATTTTTTAAAAAAACGCTTCAGGAGCGTTAATTTAAAAAACACGCTTCCAGAGCGTTAATTTTAAAAAAAATGCTTCGGGAGCGTTAATTTAAAAAACACGCTTCCAGAGCGTTAATTTTTTAAAAAAAAAACGCTTCGGGAGCGATAATTTAAAAAACACGCTTTGGGAGCGTTAATTTTAAAAAAAACGCTTTGGGAGCGTTAATTTTAAAAAAAACGCTTCGGGAGCGTTAATTTTAAAAAAAATGCTTCGGGAGCATTAATTTTAAAAAAAAACGCTTCGGCAGCGTTAATTTTAAAAAAAAATGCTTCGGAAGTGTTAATTTTTAAAAAAAATGCTTCCAGAGTGTTAATTTTTTAAAAAAAAAATGCTTCGGAAGCGTTAATTTAAAAAATACGCTTCGGGAGCGTTTTTTTGAAGGAATAGCCTCAGTGGCTTTTCCATTGAAGGGAATCGCTTCTGTGGCTTTTCCTTTGATGGAAATCGATCCCTAAGGCGTTTTTTTGAAAAAATTGCTTGTGTGGCTTTTCCTTTGAAGGGAATCATTGCCGGAGGCGTTTTTTTGAAAAAATTGCTTATGGCTTTTCTTAGAAGGGAAAAAGCCTCTGTGGCTTCTTCTTTAAAGAGAGAAAAGGCCCCTGTGGCTTTCTCTTTAAGGAAATCTCAATCTTTTTAAGTGAATTTATAATATTAAGATTTATGAGGTTATTATACAAGCCTCATTAACATTTTTTTTTAGATTTTATTTTTTTTTAAAAAATAAAAAGGCTTTTAATTGAAGTATTGAATTTAATATTATTAAAATTTTTTTTTTTAAAAAAATAATATTTTATAATATAAATCATGTCACAAAGTAATCAAATAAATTTATCTTCTGATAATGAGCAAGAACCATCTTTAATTGATAAAAAAAGAACTTCAGAAATATATCAATATTTTACATTAGATTCTTTAACTAGTCGTTGGAAATGCAATTATTGCGAGTAAGTATTTTTTATACTGAAATATCACAATATAATTTTAATTAATATTTACTTTAAAATAGCAAAAACTATGGTAATAAATCTACTTCAACATTATGGAGACATGTAAAAAAGCATCATCCAAATATTTATCAAAGTAATGAACCATTACAAATAAAAGAAAAGTTTACATCACAAGGATTTAGAAAAAAATTAATTGATTGGATAGTAATTGATGATCAACCATTTACAGTTATTGAAGAAAAAAAATTTATAGATATGTTAACATATCTTAAATTTGATTTAAATTTATCATCAGCAGATACTTTACGACGTGATTTAGATGCAAATTTTATACAAATAAAAGATAATGTATATCAAAAATTACAGGTAAATATTTTATTAATAAATTAAATTAATATATTTAATTATTAATATTTATATTAAAATTGATAGGAAGTATCTAGTTTATTTCATTTACAATTGATGCTTAAACAAGTAAAAATCAACTTCTATTTCTTAGAATTTCAATACATTAGATCAATAATAAATGGCTATTACAAAGTATTATTTTAGACTTTTATCATTTATCAGGTTAATATTCTAAAAAAAATTTAGCAAACAAATTTTTAGAAGTTTTGCAAAATTTTAATATTTCAAAAAAGTATATATATAAATTTATTTAAATATAAATTTTTATTTTTTATATATTTAAAAAATTTAAATTTTTATTATTAAATTTTAGCAATTGTATGTGATAATGTAGCAAATATGAATATAATGCTACAAAAAATTTTTTAAGTTTAAATAAGCAAAATATTAAATTTGATTCATATCATTAACATATTAAATATTTTACTCATATTATTATTAATATAGTTGTATAAAAAGTACTTAAAAATCTTAATGCATTAGAATTAGATAATGAAATACTTTAAATGAAGAAATTGAAACTGATGAAAATTTATATAAAGTAAGTTATATTCTATTATTTAATAAAAAAATACTTTTATAATTAATTTAATTAATTTTATTTTATTTTTATTATAAATTATTAAGCTTAGAAAATCCCTATAAATAATATGTATAAGGAAATTATACAGAAATAATACGTTTAAAAAATGTATAATAAACATAGAAAAATAGTATAATAAATTCGTAAATATTTCCGTATATTAGATACTGAAAATCGTCCTTTTCCGTATGCAAAAAAATACAGAATTAATGTTTAAACAGTATATTGTATACGTTATTTTTGGTTGCATTTTTTACGTTTAATCAGTATATTGTATTAGTGATACCTGACTAAACTCTTTTTTGAAAAATTGTAATTTCGTCAAAAGTTTCATTTCTTTAATATTTTTATATGAATAAATAT